GGCCATCGCGAGCCATTCGGCGTTCCCGTTCGGGCCATCGCGAGCCATTAGGTTTCGAGGTACGAGGTTATTTTCATCCAGCGATTAGTTAAATCCCACCGGCCTTGGCAGCTTCCGGGCGCACACCCGGCGCACCATCTAGATCCGCCCCTCGCTGGTGCGGAGATCTGCTTATTGTGTACAAATTTCCTTGACTGCTGTGGATTACCGACGAACACTCAGCGTGTCGGGGGTATTCATGCGTGCGCAACATGTGCATGCTTTTGTTGAACCTATCAAGATAGTGAAGCTCAAACCCCACATGATACTGAATCGAATCCACATCTGGCGAGTCCGCCGGCGGCCACCGTTGCCGCCAAAACAAAGCCTTACGGTTGCTGGAATCGCCGTCCCCGCTTCCCTCCTTCCTGGATCTGCCACCGCCACCTCTCGTGGCCGGCTGGACAGGATGCAGCAGCGGGCGAAGGTACTGCATCGCCGGATCAGGCACTAGCTATTGGTATAGTAGTGGAAAGTGTAATTGCCGCGAGTGCTTTGTGTTCTAACCTAGTCAGTTCGCTTGAGCCGGCCAGATTGTTAAATCTATATATAGTACACCAGTGGTTGAATCTGGATTTAGCCTGCATCTAAGGTGTTCCTGCTAAAGTAGGAGCAGTTTTGGCCATCGATTGAATGAATCAGACGGTTGAACATGAGCGAATCCCTGCAACGCGGGCTGTGTTTGTATTTCATCTGACGGCTTGCGTTCGCACAGAGCACTGGTCCCACATGTGGAAAAGGCAGTCGAAACGACTCACAAGCCTACACCACAAGTGAACTGGTGCTACCGTGCTTCCTGCCTTGTTGGCCCATACAGAGTACTAGTGAATAGCTAAAATAAATAGAAGTGGTTAATAACAGTCAGCTACGATGCACTGGAGCACAATCTGCTGGCTTCGCGCATATAACGGCAGCGCTTCATTACACTTGGTTGGGTATTCGTGCTACATTTTGAATCACGCCTACCGTACTTTGACATTCTACACACATCCAATTCTTTCGAGAGGAAAAAAGCCAAATTAGTATGCTCAATTAAAAAAGTTCCAGAAAAATTATACATATAATTGTTTCGAGTGTTGTAAATTCTTAAGCACTTAGCCCCTACGTGCTATGCACACACCATTTACTAGCCATCTTAGTAACACAGATATGACTTGGCAAAATGGTGTATATATTTATGAATCCACTAGTTATAGAAGCAGCTATTAAGCGATATTGTAAATCACTAAATCTAAAACTCTACCACTGGCATCACTGTTAGCCCTTTCCTCATGCGCACTTCTCATCCACATTCCTCTGGATTGCACATTAGCATTTTATCAATTACATTCCCATCCCATGGTTGAATCTGCAGAATCGACTCTCCAAACCATATATTTTAATAGTTGCTACTACCATCCTGACTTCCAAACTCCCACTCTGGATCCTCTTCTCCTTTAGCCTCACCTGACCCTGTTGTACTTGTTTCTAGCCAAACAAACACCCCCACAATGGGAAGTGTCACAACAGATGCCTGGTCTTGAGGACTGGCATGTGGGAGCATATGCATGTATACATGGGACAAGCTACTAAAACTATCTGGTTTGTTAGTTGGAGTGATGCTTGCGTTGCTCTGCAGTGACCTGCACTGCAATTCAAGTTACTTCCATGTAGGTGTCTCTGACAACTGAAATTTCTTTTCTGTTACACACACTGTTAAGTTATAGATGTTAACATGTTATAGTAAAATAGGACTTGTTGAAGGATGATTTGGAAGTGTGCAGAAAAATATCTCCAACTGACGGCCTGTTCATCTGTTGTAAAGGGAAAAGAAGATTGCGAATTTGTGTGCTAGCTGAGGCTTAAAGTTACTGCATCATTGTTGAACTACTACCCCCAGTTCACAAATAAGGGGCGTTTTGGACGTACCTTCAGTAAAAAAAAACTTTGACTGCCGTTTGCTAATATCATTTTAAATATCGGGATTGAAAACTTGAAAAATCGGAGGGAGTATTATTTTCCTTTGGAAAACGATAAGTATTTTTGGAACATAATGTACTATTTGGGTGGTATACATACTACAGTATAAATTAGATCAAACTTGGGTTAGCAAGTGCACGGGAAGAAATTTTTATTGATTAGTAAACGATCATGTTTCACCTGGTTATCCGTTCTAAATTTGTGTGGGTTCGGAACAAGTCCATCTCTATCTGGTTTTTACGTTTCTATTGTATTACAGAAGTAAAAATTGTACGATCTCATGTGCAACATTCTCTGTTCAGTCTATTGTTTACACTAGTCCAAAGGCTGTGCATGTAATTTGCACAGTGATTGTAATATTTCATCTAAGTTACACTTACATGATCATTATGTACTTGGGAGTGTCTCGTGGCTAATACTGGTATTGCCACACAATAGCTGGACAACGTTCAAAATTATTGTTGGAAGACAGAACACCTTCATTTTGCTTAGCTTTTTCGTGCAGTTAATTTGAGCTATCTTCTTGTTGATATCTATCAGTGGGCTGCGCATCTGCTTTCTATTAAATTTGCATCCACATCATATTTGTTACATCACGGAGTTATGATTTTGGATACCAACTGCAGGTACTTAGGCCCTAATAATTTGGAAGTTGGTGCAGGCAATCTCTTGCAGAACCTATGGACAGTTCTAAATCTCCCCAACCATTGAAGAAGAGCCGTACTAGTTTGTCTGGTACGGATGGCCACCAATTTGAGAATGACGAGCTTCAGTCTGAAACTGCATCAGATAAAACACCTGGTTTGAAGTTTGAAACAGTAGATAAAGCGCAAGATGAATTTGGAGAAGACAGTTCCCCATTGCAGCAATCAGCTGCTTCCAATGTGGCATACCGTGGATCGCCATGTATTGGGGCATTCACTATCCAATGTGCTAGGTGCTTCAAATGGAGACTCATTCCAACGAAAGAGAAGTATGAAGAAATACGCGAGCATATTATACAGGAACCTTTTGACTGCGAAAGAGCCCGTGAATGGAAACCTGATGTAACATGCGATGATCAAGAAGATATTTCTCAGGATGGAAGCAGACTCTGGGCTATCGACAAACCCAATATTGCACAGCCTCCTGCTGGATGGGAAAGGCAGATTAGAATAAGAGGTGAAGGAGGCACCAAATTTGCTGATGTGTGAGTGATGCTTTTCTGTCACTCCCTCTATTTGCTTGTCAGGCTATTTCTGCAAGGACATTGATTTTTTTTATTGCCTGCCACTTTATCTCTATATGCTATAATCAGTTTTTAATGCACATGGAAATAACAGAAAATTAGCCAATAACCCGCACATTTGTATTTTTTTCTACACCACACCTTTTCTAAGTTGCACGCATACACCATTTATGTCTCAGTTACGAAGAGTTCAAGTCGGGAATATAGAAACTGCTAAGCATATTATGTTACTTTTTCCTAATGGTGATCTTAGGGTTGACCCCCCCTGAACTCCAGGGAAGTGAAGGGGACCTTTCTGCATCAAAATGTTAGATTGTTGTATGGATGCTTAGTTTGTGCTAGTTTAAATCACATTAGCGTCTTTGGCGGTGCAGAACTTGTATGAAAAAGTCAATTCTGCTGCCTCTTGTTACTTCGGATGAACCAAGGAAATATGGTCGTAGGCATGAAAACCCATTTATTATTGACATGTTATTGTAGTCACCTTCTTGAGGCTGGGAGTAATTAGTCTTCTCCGTGTAGAGCCGCGGAGTACTGATTTTCTTCATCAGTGAATCATACCGCACATTTTTTAGTTTTTGCTATCCCTTGAAGTTTTGCCAGCCCCTTGTTGGTTGGCCACTTGGCTAATAGTGCATTGGCGTGGTCAGTCTAGGTTTCAGTGCTGTCCTGTACTCCTGATTCTATTCTGAAGCAAGTTCATAGAAGGAGATATTAGTTTATACTGATGGCCTATCAGTTTGACACTTCCATGATGACATTTTGCTGTGTAAACATCTTTTTCGAGGAGATTTTTTCATGTTGACATTGCTATCGATTATTGGAGAAGCGACCAATAACTTTAGTTGATCCGGCAGCATCACTAAAAACAACTGCTGATTGGAGTAATGTATGACGCATATGGGAATTAAGGTGACAGAAGGCGGTGGAAAACGTAAAATAGGTGGAAAGACCCACTTAGTTCTCATCACCACAAGTAATATAAGCTGCAAAGATGAGAGACTTAGTTAATGGACCTTTCATCTTGTCCCAGAACAGCATTCCATTTTCATTCAAATGGTATATTTTGATGGTAAATTAAATCATCTACCTTCTGCTGAATTTAGCAAATGATAAGGGTTGCACAAATAAACTAATAAATCTACACGGTCATAATTTTGGACCCACCAAAATAGGTAGGGTAGATATTCTCTTGTCCTCTTGATTAATGTGGAAATTTCTGGGCTTGCATTTTTTACATTCTTGTAAGGATATACTCCCTCTGTAAACAAATGTAAGATGTTTTAGGTCACTACTTTAGTGACCTAAGTAGTGACCTAAAACGTCAGAGGGAGTAATAGACAATATCTGTCCTAAAAAAAACCTCATTTAATTATTGTAATATATAACATGTACCCTTGCTACAGTATCTGTAATTACCGTAATGCTCTGTATCTTGGTTTCAGGTACTACACTTCTCCTACTGCGAGGAAACTGAGGTCACTGGTTGAAGTTGATCGGTACGTGATGCAAATTTACTCAAATTGTCCTTTCAACATCAATCTTCGTCTGTTGAGCTGTAATTTATTTCCTCAAATTTGTGTCTGAAGTCAAAACATGAAGTAGCACTTGTATTGCAAATCTTATGCTGCTTTCTTCTCCATATTTTGTAACTGGACATTGCAATTAATAAGTATGTAGTTACTACTAACGGAGTGGATCTAAATTGATAAAGTATAATATCTATATATGCGTTAGTGGTACACGAGAACTGGGAGTGCAAACTCCTGAACCATTTTTCATAAAATGGTATTCCATAGTGTAGAAATAGATTGTGCACGACATATGTGGGAAGCTATGCACATCATTCTGCTTTGTAGTCTGTCTTATGCGTGGGGTCCCTATGAACACTTCACCGGAAATTTTAGGCAAATAATTAAGACCGCTTCACATACCCCTTATGATGCACTTTAAGACGCCTCTCTTTTATACGGCGTACGAGCGTACGGTAATGGGATCCCTCTTATTTGTGCTGATAGTAATGGGACCCCTCTTATTTGTGCTGATAGTAATGGGATCCCTCTTATTTGTGCTGTTAGTAATGGGACCCCTCTTATTTCTGCTGATAGTAATGGGATCCCTCTTATTTGTGCTGTTAGTAATGGGACCCCTCTTATTTCTGCTGATAGTAATGGGATCCCTCTTATAGCGTATAATATTGGACTAATGGATCTCTAGAAACTCAAAGGTTCAAATTTGTGCAAGGGGGCAGACTGAAAGTCGCCAATGATTGCATGGTGTCAAATTAGTTTTGTGTCATGCTACTTTGTGCAAAAGGTTACAAATTCAACTCATGTGCATGGGCCGATGGGCGTGTGTGCCTATGAGGCTTTTGCATCTTTATGGTAGTGCTACGGAAGGGAATGGATGAAAAATCTCCTATCTGATCCAACGGTGGATAAGGGTTTGTAGCTAACAACATTGGTGCATGGTCAATACTGCCTCCTTTTTTGTCCCTAAAATTACTACGTGCGACTCATCTGTCTATGGTCTAAACTCTCTATGCCATACTTTGCAGGTACCTCCAAGAAAATCCAGAGTATGGTGCGCAGGGTGTAACATTAGCTCAGTTTTCCTTCCAGATTCCTAGACCTCTGCGGCAGAACTATGTCAAAAAGCGCCCTAAGAACGCAAGTCCAAGTGATGAAGCAACAACTAAGCCTCTTCAACCAGTGGAAGGTGTGTACGCTGTATAAATGAACTCATCATGATTTGTTAAAGCATAATATACTATATAAGGTTTTTCTTACTGCTTTGCTAGATTATATCTTTGTCGTGTCGTAAATGGTAGTCATGAATTACGATTATCCATCCAAATGTTTCAACTATAACGTGAGAACTCAAAACTATTTTTCCTTTAATCTACTTGAGAAGTATCGGCTACTATACCGTACAACGAGTACACATGGTCAAGACACTAGTTGAACCATACTGATTTGGCACATGTATGCTCCTTCATTGATTCGTGAAATTGGTAACGGTTGCTTGGCGCATATTATCAGGTGCTTTTCAAAACCAATTGGTTAAGTGCAGACCATCTCATGTTTGTGTTTTTCTCCCAGTTAACCCCATATCCTGGGCTGCCCCTCTTGCAAGTGAGGCTAAGGCAAGTGGACCAGCTTCTCATGCCGACGAAAAGCCAGTTGGATCAGCAGATGTGGAGCTGGTCCGGAAGAGGAAAGCAGAAGGCTCTGAGCCAGGAGAGGCAGATGCTAACAACCATGTGTCTGATGCGCCGGAAACCAAGCTAGAGGATGCTCAGAATGGAGATGCTACCACCACTGCCTGAAAAGCTGCAGTCTGACCGTACCCAGTGCCCCGCGTCGATGATTTCCTCGACTCTCTATATTCCTTCTCCATTGTATGCGGGAGCCGGTTTTTTCTGTAATGCGAGTCCGTAATGGCCTTATATGTGTACCAAGGCACGAACCTTCGAGGTCGACCCAAAATTCGACGATTTGGGACAGCAAGTTGACTGAATGTTGTAGTATCGTGGAAGCCCTGTCGAACCCTTTCGGAGCATGTATGTTCCCCTACGTGCTTATGTAGGAGACCTTGTCGTGCAAGATTAGATGCCTTTAATTTTCTCCTTTGTAAGATACAGAAATGTCGGTAGGGTACTGTTGTGTTGTGCTGTATGTCGGAGTCGACTCTTCTATTATCTATCGAGACATGGCAGTTTTAGCAGTGGCGGTGCGTTATTCTCTGCGCCCGTGATGCTCATCTAGCATGTCCTATATTTGCCAGCATGATCCTTGCCTTTACACATATGGAAGCAAAATTTCCATATCTATGCATGAACAACACTAGCATGATTCTAAACCCTAGAGCTTCGCATTTCTGTACATGAAAATCATTAGTGTCCTGTCATTCTAGCAAGATCCCGTTAAGCTTCTCTAGCTTTTTTAGGCATGTAAAACACGGCGATTCTGCAGCAAAACACAGCGTTTTCCTAGGTTCAAAACAACGGCTGTTCATAGATTGGTCCTTTCCTTCCTTGGATCACGTTTGCCAAAGATGGCCCCTCACAAATGGCTCAATCAGGCAACACCTTAGTCAGGCCCAACTGGTATTTATACATGGATAAATCAAGCAATACCTTACTCAGGTGGAACATATACAGAAAGTTGAGCAGAGTCATGGTAGGATATGTTGCCTATGTTCAGTTCGAATTCTCTTCTTTAGACATATGTGTGACACAAAAAATGAAACAAAAACAAATGAAAATGGACACCGTGGTACACACCCAGGCTAAAGTTTTCCCAATTCACATACACAGCTCTCGGATCAGCTACCCAAAATGGCACCAAAGCAGCTCACACGCTGAAGAATCGGCAGCTCGGCGTAGCTCTGGGGAGCAGGCAATGGCGTGGTAAGAATATTTATACAGCAACATGGTGCTAGCCTGAGGGCTTCTGGCCGCCGGTGGGCTGCTGCTCGTCGTCCTTCTTGGGGGCGGGGTTGAAGGGGGCCTGCTCGGCGCAGTCGAGGTTGAGGCCGGAGCGCTCCCGGCCGAAGCCCATGAGGTCGAGGTAGTACTGGTAGTGGGAGATGATGACGTTCATCTCGTCGATGAAGCCCCGGCCGCAGATGGACTCGCCGTAGAGGAGGTTCATGGTGGCGCCGAAGCCCGGGAGGCGCTTGCTCAGCGTGTCGTTCTTGCTGGGCTTCCACACCCCCGTGAAAGCCTCGTGCGCCGACGGCTGCTTCTTCTTGATGGGCGTCATCCACCGCCACATGGCCGCCGCGAACGCCAGCGTCGCGTTCTGCTCCAGCAGCTCCGGGTGGTGCAGCAGGTCCACCTTCAGCCCGTCCCCGGCCGCGCCGTAGTTGAAGTTCCTGCCCGCTCCGATGGATCAATCAAGGCGTCGCAAGAACTGTGTCATGAGTGACTGCAATTGATGAACTGAATGGCTGAGCTTACCAGTAGACCGGGATGGCGCCGCGGCCGTAGTACTCGGCGCCCTTGACGCAGGGCCACTGCGTGTAGGAGTCGTCGCAGTAGCCCTGGTCGGGGCTCATCTCGTGGTTGTAGCACAGCCCCCACGCCGTCGGACCGCCGGTCGCCACGCCGTATCCACCTGCAAGAAGACTCAATCAGTCGGTCTCCTGGATCTAATCGAAGCAGGGGAAGCAACAGGAAGCAGAGCAAGGCAGCAATCAATCGGAATCGGAATCGAGCCACCCCACCGGAGAAGAAGAAGAAGAAGAAGAAGAAGAAGAAGTAGAAGAAGAAGAGGAAGAAAAAGAACCAAGCAATACATACATGAGGTCTTTGCGCCGACGTGGCCGAGGAAGGCGCAGAGCTCCATCATCTGCATGTCGATGCCGCCGGTGGTGCAGAAGCCCTGGTTCTCGAAGAGCGAGGCGGCGGTGATGAAGGCCTGGTAGTCCCAGAAGCCGACGGCCTTGGCGACGGGGAAGTTGCGCTTGGCGAAGAGGTTCTCGAACTGGTACACCTTGAAGAAGTCGGTGATGGTCTGGTTGCAGCAGTACTTGGTGCCGGAGCACTCCCACCCCTTGTTGCACACCTTCTCCTGCGACTCCTTGAGCTTCACCTTCCAGGTGCCCGCCGTCAGGATCAGCGCCAGCGTGCCGCCGATCAGCACCGCCGCCGCCCCCAGCAGCAGCACCGTCACCACGATCTTGTTCCGCGTCTTCCGCTTCATCTTCTTGCTCTTCTTCTTCTTCTTCTTCGCCTCCGGCGGTCAGAGCAGCTCAGCTCAGCTCCGGCGGCCCGGGCAGCTCAGCTCGATCTGGATCTCGCTTCTTCTCGGGAGCTCGGGTGCTCGATCTGGGCTGCCCCCGTTTGGTGTGATCTGGATCTTTGGGGAATGCGGTAGCTGGTGGCGGGGATCTGGTGAGGAGATAAAAATGGGAGTGGGGATGAAAGCGAAGTGGCAACCGCGCGTGCGACCGGGGGAGAGAGCAGAGAGGAGTGGTGTCGGTGGCGGGAGGGCTGTCCGTCAAGACGAGGGAGGAAGGAGACGGGAAGAGCTGCAAGACAGCTGGTCCGGTAGGTAAGACGTTACCGTTAATGATTTTTCCGGTAAATTCCGTCTTCCTTTCTTTTTTTAAGCTGAAATTCCGTGTTTCTCATACTACCTCAAAAAAAAAAAACAAGTGGAAATTTAGGAAGTTCCACCGACGGTTTAGTTTACACACTTGCACCTAGGGCACTTCCATGAAAACCCCCTAAATTCTCCACATTTGTCTTGACTTTTATTTACAAGAAACAACATTTGTACTATTACTCAACACCCGCCAATGCTACACCTACGTAACCATCAAACGTAAACTAACGTAATAGCTTAGGTGACCTTTTTCAGTTGGAGGAAATCAGGGGAGGGGGACCCACCCAAGGAGGGGGGGGGGGATTAGCTAGGCAAGTTACGTAAGAGTAAGCGTACGTAGATTTTCTATGTAAGTGTAGCATTTTTGCTCAACACCCGGAGGTTACAACCATGGCGGCATAAATCTCGGACGGATCCTAACCAAACTGCAGTCTATATATGTGTTCTCTCAAAGTTTGACATAAAATGGCTTACATAGTTTTGATAGTCAGATATGAGTAATACAAGCACCACTAATTTTCATATGTATCTTGATTTCATGTACTAGGAACACATAATGCAAGGAAACGTGCTTAGCACTCACAGTCATATTCACAACCTGCAAGCAATCAGTTTCGATATGGAACCGGGAGAGTGTTTGTCCCTCCACAATAGTTGATAGCTCAACCTCCAGCGCGTCGCTACAAGAGAACATGTGGCGGCATGAGCAGAAAATGATGTTATATGTATGATCACGAAGGACCATGTCTGTTCTGCTACTCCTTCACATAAAGACCCGCCTGCATTTAACTTGGCACAGACAACGTCAAAAGGCTCCCAGGTTATAGCGTATATGTCCATGCTTCTTTTGTCACATATGAAGGTCAACCTTAGAGGGGCCTCGACGAATAGCGCAACTTTGCCTTTTAAAGCGCCTTGTTTTGGCATATGAGGAATACCATCAAAAGGTTATAGGTAACTAGAGAGTAACCTTAG